AAAAAAAAAAAAACCTGCTTTATATGCTTGCCTCCGCGTGCTTCTCTACTGTTCGGACTTCAACATGTGAGGGAGCAGGACTCATCACTGATAACCCGTGGTATCACTAGGCAAGCACTTTACCACTGAGTTACAACCATAGCCCCTAAATTTTACTTGTTTGTTTGTTTGTTGGACAAATACTTTTATTTTTATGTGGTGCTGAGGATCGAACCCAGAATTTCAGTTTTTGGTTTGTTTGTTAGTTGGACACAATACCTTTATTTTTTATTATATTTATTTTTTAGTTTTAGGTTGACACATATCTTTATTTTATATTTATATGGTGCTGAGGATCAAACCCAGTGCCTTATGCATATTAGGCGAGCTATCACTGAGCAACAAGCCCAGCCTCCTTTATTTTATTTTTATGTGGTGTTGAGGATGGAACCCAGAGCCCAGCACATGCTAAGCGCTCTATCTCTGAGCCACAACCCCAGCCCTTTTTTCTTTAATATTTATTTTTTTAAGGGTGTGGAAATATAGCTCAGTTGGTAGAGCGCTTGCCTTGCATGCACAAGGCCCTGAGTTTAATCCCCAGCGTGCGCGCACGCGAACTCACACACCCCCCCACACACACACACAGATATTTATTTGTTTGTTTATTTATTTATTAGTTATCGGTATACACAATATCTCTATGTGGTGCTGAGGTTGGAACCCAGTGCCCCATGCGTGCTAGGTGAGCGCTCTACTTCTGAGCCACAACCCCAGCCTCCTAAATTTCCACTTTTGATAAGTAAAAACAATGTGTTGGGAAAGGAAGGGAAACTATACTGCAATCTTGAACTTTTGGCTTTGATTCAGGAAGTGGTGATAGGAGTCTTTGAATAGTACATAATAACAAATGTGTGACTAAAAATGATGACCAGMAGCCAGACACAGGGGCACAGGCCTATGATTCCAGCAGTTTGGGAGGCTGAGGCGGGAGGTTGGCAAGTTCAAAACCAGCCTTAGCAAGGGAGAGGCACTAAGCACCTCAGTGAGACCCTGACTCTAAATAAAATACAAAATAGGGCTGGGGATGTGGCTCTGGTCGAGTGCCCCTAAGATCATACCAGTACCAAAAAATAAATAAATAAATAATGACCCTAAGAATCCTGGATGTTAATAGGCTATTGGAAGCACAGTGTGAAATGTTACTTTGTCCTGGTGCCAAATGCAGGTGTATTTGCCTCTTGTCAGCTACCTTTATTTCTGTCAATATAATTTCTGAACAACTATCTACTTACCTGATGGAAAAATTCAACTTCAGTTATCATTAGTACATCTAACTCTGAATATGTGCGCCAATTTAGGCAGAAATGACATATTTAATTAGGAAAGCTTCTCATCTAAAAATAGGAAATTTCACCCTTTAAGATTTTTGTTTCCTTTGGTTGTTTTTGCAGTGCTGGGGATGGAGCCCAGAGCCTCACACATGCTAGGCAAGGGCTCTACCACTGAGCTGCACCCCTAGCCACCATTTGAGGTTTTCTTGTTTTTTATGTCCTTTACTGTGGTAGATAAGACTAATGGCACCTCAAAGATACCATTATTAATTTCCTGGAACCTATAAATATGTTGCTTTAACATGGCAAAATAAATTTAGCAGATGTAATTAAGGTTA